GTCTTCTAAAGTGAAAGAAGTGTCAACCAAGGGATAGTTCAAGACATGAAGGAAGCTTCATGACGTTGATAATGAATCCTCAAAGGAAGATTAAACCATTAAGCATGAGCCTTGACCTCAAGCTTAAACAACCCTAAGGTTGAAACAACCCTCAAAGCAAATGAAAAAGTGAAGAAATGAGGAAGGTTACAGAGATTGTATGTGCTGAAATTGAGTGATAAGAGCACTAAAAACATGCAACCAACTCACACCAATGTTAGTTAAAGCCTTAAAACACTAAAATAGTGAAGGAATTAACATTACAACTATGCCATGTAAGGCTCAAATGAAACAAATGACCAAAAATAGAGGCAAAACAGCCCTAATTATGGTCTAAAACATACTGGAATTATTCTAACGAAAGCTAGAAAAATAAGGTAAGACATAGAGCATGTTAAGTTAGTAAACAAAACACAATGAAGGAAGGCTACCCTCTCCATTTTTGGACTCCAAAACATGATTTTAGCCACTGAAATAACTCTAAAATTCAGTGTTTAAAAGCTCTGCAAAAGATGATGCAAGGGTGGGAAACACAAGGGCAAAGGTCTCCAAAACAAGGTATAAAGAAAGGCTATCAACCCTTCAACCTTTAATGGCCTTAGGACCCAAGCTTCAGCCAAAAACTACAGAGTTTTTATAGCCCAAAATCAGTTGGAAAACATGCTGAAATGAAAACAAATGTAGCTAAAACAATAAGCTAATACATGGGGTTACACTACAACTATGCAAAACAAGACTCAAACAAACTAATCAGCCCAAAATAGAGCTAAAACAGGTTATTTTAGAGGCTAAGACATGTTGGACTTGAGCTAAGTTAAGCTAGAAAAGCATGCTAACATGTGAAGCTAACTAAACATGCAAACAAGACACAATGAGGGGTGGCTAACCCCCCCAAATTTGGACCTCAAAATAAGTTTTTTGCTACTGAAAAACCTCTAAAATTCAATGGTTAAAAGGCCCAAAAAAGTTGGTTTGAAAGATGATAGACAAAGGCTCAAAAGCTATACAAGCAAAGAGACAAGAAGGGTGAACCACCTCTTAATTGAAAATGGCCTCAAACTACCATTTTTAGGTCATAAAAATAAAGCTTTTTACAGTTCAAAACCAGGCCAAAAACAATAGAAAAAGATAGTGAAGCAAGTAAGTAAAACAAGCTATCTAAGTAAGAGTTATACCTCTTGAAGGCAAAGCACAATTTAGGCAACAAAGCAAGCCAATACCACCTTCTAGAGCTCAAAAAGGGTCCCAAGTAACCTCAGCCCAAAAATAAGCAACTTTGGTTAAGGGTTGATAGGCAAACTTGAAGCGTATCAACACTTGTATGCACAAAAGTTCAAAAGAAAGAGAGAGAATTCTAGAGAGATAGAATTATAGAGAGAGAGACTCCCAAAATTCTTCTAACCTTGAAAACAATAGAGAAGGTCCTCTATATATAGAAATATATGAGCCTTGGTCAAAAATATCTCAAAACGGACAGCTGGAACATTGTGAAAACAGTTGGAGGAAAAATATCTGCACAAAAACTGCATTTTGACACCAGTGGCCGACCAGCCATCACTGGTGGCCGAAAAAAGTCACCCTTGGACGACACATGGCTGACAAAATCCATTCATGGCCGACACATGGCCGTCAAAGCCCATCCATGGCCAGCAAACTCTACAAGTGGCTGGCCAGAAAAATCCGCTCTTCAAGTCCAACTTCAAATAGGCATGTCTCCTTCCTCTGGACTCCTTTGCAGGTCATTCTTGAGTCTAAATTGAAGCCCCAGAAGTCTTCTTTCCAATGGTAGCATCCTCACATCAAAATTTCACGTGTGCAAAAAGATATGCCTATTTTAGTGAAAGCTGCTCAATTTTGGTCCTAACCAGATGGATGCCTACCTTTTCTTTAACTAGTTTTCTTCCTTTCTCCCTTATTTTCTTTTACTCCAAACCTCTAAATAAGGTGTTTTGAAAGACTTTTCAAAGATTTCACCTGTCTTTCATTTATTTCCACTTTCTGCTTGCTCGGTTTACCAAAAAGCACAACATTTAACGAAACGTGAGCCTTGGAACATCGTAGAAACTTTTTTCAAAAATATTTTGAAAAAAAGGGTTTTAAGGTCTAAAAATCATTTTGGTCAAAAGGTTTTGGTCCAAAATGAGGTGTAAGGTTGGGATTTGAAGCTCTCCTTGATAAAGAAATCGAACATTTGCACAACATAACCTTCACCATCGAATGATCAACCTAAGGCCCCCAAGTCTTAAGGGCAGTAAAAAATGAGGTGTCTACACGTTTCTACCCTTATTAACTTTTTGACTTTTGGATAGTTGAATTCAAAGGGTAAAATAATAATTTTATTCTCTAGGCTTCCCCCACAAGCTTCCCCTAAATAGTATAGACTTTTAGTTTTTTTAGTAACTTTTTAATTTTTTGATTTTTGTAGGTTATCCCAAACAACCCATAATCTCGAATGCTAAGATCTTTTAATCTTACTAATTTTCCGTTATTTAGATCTCGTTTAACAACATCACATTTTAATTTGCAAGTCAAAAAATATTAAAAAATTCAAAAATCCAACAAACTATATGAAAATGTCAAAATTTTTCTTTTCTCTTTATTTTTTGCACTTCTTTTAGTAAAAAATTAAAAATCATCACAAACATACTAATTCTTTTATCTCATATTTTAGTCAAAAAATTGAAAAATTATTAAAATAGCTATTTCCAAGCGAGACCTTATTATTATAAAAAACCATAGTTAATAAAAATTACTTCTTGTGATCAATAAAATGAATTCATTCGATATTTTACATGTTTTATCACTCTCTAAACTATCATTAAAAGTAAGAAAAATTAGTAAAATATTCTTCTTCAATTTTGAGTAATAAGAGAGGTCTAATATGTCTTTTTTTATTAGTTAGTGTCTCTCGATGAAATTTCTCTGTGATCATATCAGAGAAATTTCAAAATTTCTCTATGATTAGAAATTTCTTTGTGGAAATTGAAATTTCAATGTGTCAAATTTCCTTTTCTCTATGATTAGAAATTTCTTTGTGGAAATTGAAATTTCAATGTGTCAAATTTCCTCTGTGAAAATATTGAGGGACCCCCACTATTATGAAAATATTGTATATCATTTATCTTATAAAATTTTAATATCAAGAATCTTTAAAAAAAAAAAAATCCAAAGAAGTTTTCCCCTTCTTTTTTCCATCTTTTTACCAATTTGACCCTAATCAAATTTTTCACTAAATTGGATCCAATTTTATTATATCCAACATTTTGAGTTTTCACCAAAGTGCAAGTGAAAAAAAAATTAATAAAGAAATGTATTTTCTTGCAAGTATTTGAATAAAATGATTTTTTTTTTTCTAAAAAAAATAGAAAAAATTATAAATAACTCATACATTTAATTTTTTTTGTATTTTTTGCAAGAAATTAAAAATGAATTACAGTATTAATATGGGTTGTACAAAAAATATAATTTTCTACTTTCCACCCCTTTCAAGTTAAACAAACTCATAAATGCTTTTAAAAAAAAAAATTCTTATTCTCTCATTTTCTATCTATTTCATGCTAAACACATTGAGACTAACCCAAAAAAAAAAATTTGTCTATCTTTCTCACAAATGTGATTTGTATTTTGTTCTTTATAGTTGTTAAGTTGTTTGTTTGCCGCTTTCGAGACTTGTTATTTTTATTTTTCTTGATTTATATGTTGTTTATTTTTATTTTAATATAATTACTTTATAACTTTTTTAAAAGAAAAGAAAAAAAAAACAAAATAACCCGTCCACATGCTGACCCGAAAATAGACCCGAATAGGCTGCAGAATATCCAACCGGGGATACTATTTTCAAGATGGGCCGGGCGGGCTTAAACCCTAGCACCTCTCTCTCTCCCACGATGAAATCAATTTGAAATGAAAATTGTTACCATCCTTAAAATTTCTATCAAATATTTTATCAAATGTCTCGTATAAAATAAATCTCACATAAATGTGAGATTCACGTTCATATAAAATATTTAATAAAATATTTGGTAAATTTTTTTGATTGTATTTGGTTGAACTTTGGAAACGTAATTCTACACCTTAGTTTGAGTATTATGTTTGATTAGAATTTTTAAAACGGTAATGCTACGTAGCTCGAAAGAGCTTCCCCGAATTCCCCCCGAAACGAAAACGATGCCGTTTTCGGCGTTTTCAATTTTTTTCTTTTTTTCAGAAGAAGAAGAAGAAAATCAGAAGGAAGAAGAAGAAGAGAAGGAAGAAGGAGGAGGAAGAGGAAGAGGGACTGGAGGGGGCCAACAAATTAGCTGGAGACGGAGGAGGGGCTGGGGCTGCGAGGTAGAGGCTGCGACGACGATCGGCGGAGGCGGGGCTGCGACGATGGGCAGAGGCGACGACGGAGGGCTGCGACGACGGGCGGAGGGGGCTGCGACGACGACCTGCCTCCTCTCTCTCTCTCTCTTTCTCTCTCTCCCTCTCCTTCTCCTCTCCCTCTATTTCAGACCTGCAAGACGAAGCAAAAGAAGAAAAAAAAAATGCCCAAAACGACGTCGTTTTGGGCATTCGGGGGATTAGGGGAGAAATTCGAGCTACAAATCATTATTCTTTTTTAAAATAATTCCATAGCCACTTTTGAAAACACGTTTACACAATCATTCTTCTCAGACGTCAAGCCGATTGACCAAAACAATATTTTTTTTTATAATTGACACATATTATTTTTATATTTTAAATAAATAATATTTTCAAATCTTTTAAAAAAAAATTATGAATTTTGAATAAAATTTTAAGTTGTATGTTTAATTATAAGTTATAAGATTTTGAATCAAATAATTTTTCTAATTTCATAAATTACATCAAAAATTCAAAAAAAAATTCAAAATTTATAATCAAATAAATTTTTTCTTTTCAAATCATAATTACAAATCTTCCAAACTCAAAATACAAGTCACTCTGAAGTCATTATTCAACCATTACTAATTGAAATACATGCGAGTTAGAGAAGGGGAGAGAGAGAGAGAGAGAGACAAACGAGAGATCGATCTCCGTTGCTCGCCATTGTGACGCGGAGAGAGAAGCTAGCTATCAGCGAAGAACCCTAGGCACAGACTGCTATATCATCATCATCTGGTAAGATCTCACTTTCTTCTATTGAACCTCTCTTAATTCCTTCACTTATCACTGTCGCAATTTATGCTGAATAGTCTAGAACAGATATCTGATCTTCTTTCACATATATGTAGTTTTCTTACAGGACCTCGAATTTATTTTCCGAATATTCAAATTTCAGAGTACCTGATGCGATGAAGCTTTCCAAAGTACTGATCTTTATTAGGAAATTTGAGCATAATTTGAGGGCTTAGGGTTTTACTGGTTTTAGGTACACTGACTCTTCTTGGAGACAATCGAATCGAAGAATTAAACACAGCTTTTTGTAGGCTATGGAAGTTGCCTCTTTTTAAGATTTTTTAGGGTAAACCAATTCAGATATAGGGATGTCTGGGAATCTCAACAACCAGCCCAAGAATGTTAGGGTTTCGTCCCCTTTTGGAAATGTCGATCCACCTGCAAATCAAAATTCCAATCTTCAATCAAAATCCCAAGTTCAACAACAATTTGGTTCTGGTTTTCCTGGTCAATTTCATCTGTCCCAGTTATCGGCTGCTCAAGCCCAGGCACTTGCCCAAGCACATTCGAAGGCCCAAGCTCAAGCACATGCCCATTTACAAGCTCAGTTACATGCTCAAGGGCTGTCCATGAATCAGCACCACACTGCCGGTATTGGGAATGTGGGTTCTTCACCATCATCATCATTTAACACACCAGGCAATCCAAGTGCGAAACGCCCAGCTCAGAAGCCACCAGTGCGGCCTCCTAGCTTCTTGGCTACCAACACATTCTCACCTTTGAGAAGTATGGAGCCTGCATCGGCTGCTGCTGCTCGTAGAAAGAAGCAGAAGCTTCCAGAGAAGCAGTTACAGGAGAGAATGGCGGCAATTCTGCCTGAATCTGCTATTTACACTCGGCTCCTTGAGTTTGAGTCTGGTGTAGATGCTGCTTTAGCAAGAAAGAAGATTGATATTCAGGACGCCATTAAAAACCCTCCCTCGATTCAGAAAACTCTTCGAATCTATGTATTCAACACTCATGCCAATCAGGTTGGGGGAATCCTCAAGAACCCAAATGCTGAGCCACCAACTTGGACCCTCAAGATAGTTGGAAGGATCTTGGAAGATGGAATGGATCCTGATCAAGCTGGGATGCTGCAGAGATCGAGTTCCTTGTACCCAAAGTTTTCATCTTTCTTCAAAAGAGTTGCCATTTCCTTGGACCAGAGATTATATCCGGAAAGCCATAGAATTATGTGGGATAGTGCTCGATCACAGACACCTCAAGAGGGCTTTGAAGTAAAACGGAAAGGGGATAAAGAATTTACAGCAAACATAGGGTTAGAAATGAATTATATGCCTGAGAGATTTAAGCTTTCACAAGCATTGATGGAAGTTCTTGGTATTGAAGTTGATACTCGCCCTAGAATCATAGCTGCCATCTGGCATTATGTAAAGGCTAGAAAATTGCACAACCCAAACGACCCATCTTATTTTCATTGTGATCCACCACTCCAAAAAGTATTTGGGGAAGAAAGGATGAAATTCACTATGGTTTCACAGAAGATATCGCATCATTTGTCTCCTCCGCAGCCTATATATTTGGAGCATGAGATCAAGCTTTCAGGGAATAGTCCAGCGGGAAATGCATGCTATGATGTATTGGTGGATATTCCCTTTCCAATTCAGAAGGAATTGAATAATTTGTTAGCCAACTCGGAGAAAACCAAAGAGATTGATTCCTGCGATGAAGCTATTTGTACTGTTATAAGGAAGATCCAAGAGCACCGTAGGAGACGATCCTTCTTTCTTGGGTTCAGCCAATCACCAGTGGAATTCATAAATGCTTTGGTTGAATCTCAAAGTCGGGATCTGAAGCTTGTAGCAGGGGAAGCAAGTCGTAGTGCCGAAAAAAGTTCAGATTTCTTCAATCAACCGTGGTAAGCTCATCTGCTACTTGCTGCTGATTAAGTTTGTGATTGGTACTTTCTTATATAGGAGTTATGATTATTTATTTATTTATTTTGTGTGGATTAAACAGGGTTGAAGATGCTGTTATTCATTATCTGAATCACAAGCCAGTTACAGATGGTCCTGGAGGCACATGAATTAGGGATCATGGAACTGTTGATGGGCACTTCCTCCGAGCTCACTCACATTAGTCAATTTTTTTGACATCCCTTTTGGAAGCACTTTGCGTATACACTGACCTTTCCATTGTCAAGTGGGGAGGAAAGTTGCTTATTTACAAGAAGAAAATGTGCTCTGTAGACCGTTCAAGCATTTCTTTGTTGTTTTTCAGGTTCACAGAACTGTGATTTTGCTAATTTGAACAAACAGGGTATCATAGGCTGATTGATCTTTTTGCACAATGCCCAGTTTTATGCTTACAAGTTATTGTTTTTGTAAATAAAACCTTCCAAGTCTTGTTGATTCATTTTTGTGAATTGATCTTCAAGTCTTGTTTTTGTAAACTAAACCTTCTACGTTTGTCTGGTTTGCACGGTGTGGCGTTCATAATAGCTGGAATACTGAAACCTCGTCCAAACACGCACACAAACAATGGGAAATATATGAGAGCTCAGTCGCAACTATAATCTGTATATTACAGAGAGTTTGCCCAGCAAGTCTTCATTGTTTTGAAATGTTAGTTAATGTCGACTTTTTAATTTTTTTGATTTTTTTTTAAAAAACGTGTAAAAAAAATATGGAGGGGATGTATTCCGAAAATGACTTTTAACGGAGTTCCAATACCAAGTTCCAAATTGGCCCAAACTGTCTGGGCTACCGTTGAACTGTCTGGGCCACAGTTGGTTAACGAGTTAAAAAAATGTAAGTAAACTTGACTGACTTCATTTTTTAGTCAATTTTTGAATGAATTTTAATCAATTTGCTTGAATAATTTAATTTTTTATATAGTCTCAAAATATTTATTAACTTTGTGAAAAAATTTAATAATTAGTTTATAAATAAGTCAATTTTTACCGAGCTACTTAACAAACTGAATATGATTTGAAATCAAGTGACTTGATTTGCTTTACAGCCTTGGTATTCGGGATGGATAACCATTCATTTATTTCCAAAGCTTAACAAAGAGGGGTTATTATGGTACATCATATCCTAACTAGTAATAATAATTTGTAACTGCCTCCTAACAAATCACACCGCAAATGCTCATAATGAACATCACAAAAATTCACAACTAAGATCACAAAGTCTCATACGTATGGTACACGCGGTGTATACCATAGTATTTCCCCTTAAATTATTATGGAGGACAAAAACAAACAAATATTTATGTCTATGCTAGTGGCATATAGCACAATTGCCAAAGCTCAGTAAGTCTACAGACATAGAGTCGATCATGGATAGAGTCTTTGTGAAGCCAAAGTAAGTATTCAACATATTTCAACCATGCCCGAGCAAAGACACTTTTATAGATCACAGCATGGAAAAAAATTTACGCCAGAGCTCAGTTCTCTTGTATGTAGCCAACTACATATTAGAGTGACCAACCCGCACATGAACCCGATGCCACGAAGTGTTCAGTATTCCTCTCAAGTTCCAAATGGCTTCCACACTTTCAGGTTGCACATTTGCGGCTATGTCCACCTGCCCATCAATAGGACAACAAAATATTATGTGCTAGTGAGAACCACAAGTCATTAACATTAAAAAAGTAAAAACTACAATTCAACTAGCGGGGGCATAAATTGCATAACCTATGAGTCAAACTGCATAAACTTCGGCTTGTCAAGATGGCAAGCAATTAACAAATCAACACAAGTCAGAAGTTCCCAACCATCAATCAATAGATCAGTTCAAGTCAATAATATGCATGCAGTTATTTCCTATTGAATTTTAACATATGGTCCACCTATGTTTACATTATAATTCATATATTTAGTACAGAAATCTGAAAATCAACGAGAATACTATGAGAATCAAAAAAATATTTACTGCTAGCAAGGAAAGTACCATCAAGGCACAAGGGGACTTAAGTTCAAGGTATTGGGTCAAGAAATGGTTCACAAATTGTAGCCCATTCATAAATTCCATCAGAAATCAGATTGAAACTTTCTTAAGCTACCATTGATGCTCAACCTCTATCAAGGCAGGCCACCACTATCTTATCATCACCACTTGATGGTGATTGCTTCAATTCTATCTCTCGCTCTGTTATTATTATTACTATGGTGTCCACTGATGGGATGAAATCATAGGGCCGAAGGTACCAATGAATAAAAAATTTGGATCACAACATATATGCAGAGTGTGATGTGATGATGAGAAGCTTGTAAGACTTACCGCTTTAGCAACTATCTCAGCATCCTTTGGAACATCAGTGTGTGCCTCAAAAAAAACCCATGCCCATTTGTCGCTGCTACTAATATCACCAGCAACGTATGGAATGCCAGCCTTCTGGTATCTGGATGCTTCCACCCAGGTTTTGCCACCATCAACAGATATATCTACTCTCTCGATTCCACGGCCACCTCCTGATACCGCATATCCCTTGATAGTTACCTGCATAGAGAAAATAACAAAGTAGCTATTTATAAACTAAAAAAATTAAAAGAAACAGCATGGTCCACCAGAATTTGGATTTTATGAATTGACATGTGCAATAAAATCCAGGGAAAAAAAAAAAAACATTTGGCTAATGGATGGGGGATTATGAAGGTTTGGTGAATATGGCAGTTTTTTTGTTGCCATATGAAAATTAAGGGTACACTGTGGCTGGATCTATTACCACCGAGATGTTTGTCTTCAATTTGTTTGTGAAAATTAACAAAATAAGGAATATACATGGTGTAAGTACACATGACATAATTAGAACTCAAGACCTGCTTGTAAGTTCAGATATCACTGACCTTTCCATTCTTTACAACGTTCACGTCCTCTAAGGAGCATATTGCACTCTGTGAAGAAACAAATCCTTAAAACGTTAGACAAAAAATTATATTCTCATTAATTCTTTATCCTGAGAAATAACATATTTTTATTCTGAGAAATAACATATTTTTAATCCAGTGCATTGCTAGAATAACGCTCGTATTTCTTAAAGGTTGAATCTAAATAGCCTCCCTAACCTACAATTCTCCTTGGTATTAAGCATTGACCAGCCATAAATAAACAGGACCATGCCCAAGAAAACAATCTAACCATCGGAACCTAGGAAGTATGGATACTTCAAATATGTCGAAGTATCCATGTCCGACATATATTGCATACCAACATGCATCAGACACATGTGGATGCCTATCCTCAATATTTTTTTTGGCCCTGAGGGTGTTGTCTCCTTTCCATTTTTGTATACAAACCGCCCCTCGGGGATATGTACACTCTGATTCCAGCCTCTAATAGCTTGTTCTTTCATGCCAAAAAAAAGTGGTAAAATATTTGGTCACTATGTATATAAATCATTTAATGGATTGAAGGGCATTAATATAAAAAATTCAGATATTGTTCTCCAATATCTGGCCCACATTTGGAACCATTTTGTGTTTATAAAATTATAATAATGCTTCTTATGAACATACAGGAAATAAATATGACAAGTGTTTGGAGAGAGAGAGAGAGGCACCGAGCAAATACCTGAACAGGGAAATCCATTTGCGGCTTCCTTGTAGACCAATCGATATTATCCCAATTAACTGAAGGTGGAAACATTTTATAGTCTTTTTGCATAAAGAAGCCCTATTAAGTAACCAATATGAACTCAATCTTAAATGACATTGGAGAGAGGGAGTAACAATCAGAACAATTAAAAGAGAAATAAATGGGAGTTACAATCAGAACAATTAAAAGAGAAACAAATGATATTCTAACCTGGCATTCTTCAGTAATTATGCCAATGGAATCCAGCCACTTAACAGAACGGGCACCGATAATACCTGGGACTACTACACGTAATGGATATCCATGGTCCCTGTTTAGAGTCTTTAGCAGTAAACTAAAATCAGAGTCATGGACTATGAAATTTGTTGCCCAAACTTTTCAGACACTGAAAATTTAATTCGAAAGGGCATAGCGACAAGGTTTAAATCTTGTTCTCTAATTCTTTTATAGTTGAAGCCTTGAAGAAATTTGTGCAGGATTACACCATGGCTGCATGATTTTAACTAATGGGGTAATGCTTCCTACCTACCAACTGGTGTACAAAAATTTTGTGCCAGATGCCTATCCTGCCACCAACTGGCCCACAGGACATTCAAATCAATGCACAGAGGGTTGATATCAGCTTGCCAGTAAAAAATAAATAATATGAAAACACTTGATGTATGCTAATGTGATCCATAAACACAGTACATAGTTATGAAATGATAATTTAGTCCATAACTTAGCAGAATGGTTCGAATGATGTGACAGATCCACATCCAATGGTCTTGTTACACAGGATATTCCAAGGACACAAGTTATTGTCAATTCTGATCTTATCTTTCCATTTATTATCTCAGATAATCTGCAGGAACAAAGGCCATTACCTTTGTGGACCACTGAATACAGGAATTTGGGCATTCATTATCCAAACACAAATCACTCAACAAGAATATAGACCAAAGGAAACTTAAAAGGAAAAGGCAAAGGCCCGCATTTCCCTGACAGACATTAACCACATTTGTGAATTACCTGTGTCAAATACTCAATGCTTAGGCATGCTTAGTTAGACACACACTCTTTGATGCCTAGGTAGTCAAGTTTCCTACATAACTATGCATAAGACTCCCATTTTATCCACAAAATGTTAAATATTAGTTTGTAAACACCACTTTGCCCTAACAAGATAAAAGCAGTACTCAAGAAATATGAAATGTAGTTGTGTCCTAGTGTCCTTACACATGAAAATTAAATGAACCCAACATTTAGACACATCTGCACCCAACACCCATCCAAGTCGATGTAATATAGGTTGGGTTGGGACCACATTTTTCGACTTTTAGCATTATAGCAATGCATCAGTCATACAAAATGTATTTTGACTATTTATACAGTAATAATTGTGTAAAGGAGAATGTATTGAAAAGACTACATTAACAGCATCCTGCCAAAACCAAGAGAAAAATGCAATGAAGGAACTTGAACGGAGGTTAAGAGCCAAAAGCAAGAAAAAGTAGACAAATTAAAATATGCAATCTATATCATAACAGGTAAAGTGATTGAGAAACATATTTATTTTCCAAATAAATCAGTATAAAATATGTTCTCTCATAGAAGAGAGAATACTTACCTTCCCATTCATCTCATATGCAAGTAAAACATCAGCGCCAGGGTTAGTGGCCTGAGACAATGGAATTGATGCCTTATACGGGCCCCCATTCTCCTCCTGCACTTTTGAGAATATTCAAATCAAGTGAAATTCAACCACTAAACAATGAAGGACAGCACCCAAAAATAAAAATAAAAAATTTCTCAAAACAAGACTTGAAAGTTCCATTACCTTACACTTATCAATGCTGACAAATTCAACATGCTTTCCACCTGATGGTGTAGCACTTGTCAACTTTGGTATCCCAACAAGTTCTAGAACATCTGCCAATTTAGCCCCACCCCAGACAGCTGACAGGAATTTGCGGAAGACAAGTTAAACATAGATAGTGGAGGTGTGTGGGAAAATCAGGTACTTAATTTAACAATGAGTTCAAGCACCCTCATAACACAAAAACAAACAAATGAAAATAAAGTGGAAAATGAAGTCTAGCAGCCAGATTTTAGTGGTTGTACTAGTCAGTTTTGGGTGTGTTTAACCCCTGCTGCCTTATTCCAATGGATGATATCAAAATTCTAAGCCTTCTGTTAAGATGCCAGACTGGGAGTAACCACATTAATGCATTAACTTTATCCTTCCATTATCACTAGATTAAATTTGCTGTCACAAGAGAGTAAAAATTGTAAATTATCCATGATGCTAACCATTTCCTAGAGCAGCAACATCCCAGCCAACACCTTTCACTGTTTTGGTGTTGCTCATCGCAGTCCTCCTGTTACCAGCACACTGTACAACCCAAAACATGCCAGGTCAACATGTACATGAATATTTTTTTTTGTCATTCTGCTTTATCAAGGGTTATATGCCCATGTTCATAAAATTTAATAAAGTAAAAATCATTTTGTCACAAAGTTATGATAGAAAATGTTGAATACCAGATAACTCAAACAATATAGACCCGCATGATTTTTAGAAATAACATACCTGCAAAGTGGCAGTGACATTGTATTTTGGAAGGTTCCTATTATTTATATAGCAATATAAGTTCCTTCTTCAAATAATTTTGCACGAAGCAATATGATTTCATGAACTATGAACGACCAAATCCATCACTCACCATATATCTTTCATAAATAGTTGTTTGGGATTGTCAATTAAACCAGTCATAGAAACGCAATATCTGCTCAGGCAAAAGCAAATTCTGTCAGTCAGTTAAAACTGATAGAGTTCAAATATTATGATACTTTGCACGACCTTTCTATGTCATCAACTATTGGGATTGGTCCATGGTTTCTCTTGTAGAAAAAATCCACAGGAGTCACATAAGAAGAAATCAAATCTGAACGAAGTGGCTCAGCATTGAAGGGCTCCTGCAGCAGAAATGGAGTAATATTGTAACTGGTCACTTGGTTGAAAAGCGCAATCTAGGATAAACTTATTGGGTCTGAAGCCAGATAATGAGAAAATATAAAAACAATACAAATGGGCTGCTGATATCACAGAAATACTCAAAACGAAGTGTCTGACATGCTATCCAGTACTTACAAATTAAAAATAAAAAATAAAAAAAATTCACTTGATGCACTTTCTATGGGGAAGGCTGCTTTCAAAAGAAAATTTTCATCATGTTTTACCATCCCATGATAACGACATTTCAATTTTTAACCATCATTTATTAGATGTTTTGCTCTTTTCGTAGTGATGCATGCATAAAGACTCTACAAAACACATGCACTCGCACATACTGTTGGTCCTAGCAATGTTGGTTGGCAGGAGAGATGGATAATTGGATATAGACCCACGAAAAGTGGCTCTCAGAATTTAATTGCATTATCCCACTTAGAAGCCCAAGCTTTTATCAATACACCAAACTATGACTGGAAAACAATGTTCAACAGCATAAAAGCATGGTAAACAAATAATCATGTACAACTAAAATAACAATGTTCAACAGCATAAAAGCACGGTAAACAAAGTATAAAATTTGAAATATTTGAGAATCATGTACAACTAAAATAACCATGTTCAATTTACAAGTCTCAAAAGAAAAAAATCAAACACAAAATCCATGGATAAATATAAATTGTTCAATATCATTTTTTTTTTTTTGGGATAAATAAACAAACTTTATAAAATTGGAGATCCTTTGGGCAATTGCAATTAGGATCAACATGCATGAATTTGTAACTCCCTTTGCCGTTTCTATCGCCGCCAGATTGTATAAAATCATCATATCATAAAAGCCCAACCAAGGCAAAAAAAAAAAAAATCCTAGATCATACTCGTATACGTGAAGAGTGATCGCCATGATAATTTAGGCTTAAAGTCTTGAAAAAACCATGTCGAATTAGAAGCATGAATTAAAATTAGAATCATGAATCCATCATCCATTACAAATGTTGAGAGAAAGAAGCTTTGCCTTGGCATTAATTCTGAGACGAGGGTGGCGAGGGGGTTCTTGCGAATATTCAGAAGGACCTTTGATTCCCGGCATTTCTCAGCTTCCTTCTTCGATTCAACACCTTCTCTTCTCTTCTCTTCTCTGCAGATGATCTCTGTTTTTGTGTGTGCGTGTGTGTGTGTGTGTGTGAGAGAGAGAGAGAAGTTGGTTTAGGGGTTTTGAATGAATGAGAAACGACGGCGTAGACCACAAGGGAAAATGGGTCCCAGGTTTTGGGACCCTCTATTTGCACACGCCACTTTCACTCACTTCACACACTTAATGGTATTTTTTTAAATATATTTTTATCTTAAAATAAAATTATCAAAATATTCCTTTTCTTCTTCGACCAAAATCCTAACCTTAACCCTAACACCCAACACAGTGCCTCCCCCTCCGGTCATCGCCCTCCTTCATCCGCCGCTCTCCTTCGTTCCTCCGTCGCCCTCTTTCGTTGCTCCGTCGCCTCCCGCTAGCCTTCCCCTTCTCGAATTAAAACCCCACTCGACCCCATCGTTCGTCACTCACTCACCCTCCCTATCACCTCCGTAACCCCTCACTTCGGGACACAACACCACCACTGCCGCCGCAGCTTCCACCCCTTCGCGACCCTCAATTTTGCGCGCGCGCACACACAGAGAAAGAGAGGAGAACCTAGATCCGAAGCCCCTTTTTCGCGACTTGAGAGGGGAGAGAGAGGATGGGGTGGGCATCGCGGTAGTGTCGCCGGTAGGTGGAGGAAGGGGTGGGAATGGCGACTGAAGGGAGGTGGTAACGATGGTGGTTGCCGGCGAGGTGGTCGCTGGTCTGGAATGTGTATGGATTGAGAGACTTGAAAAGTTGTGTTTATGGGGATATAATTGAAATAAAAATATGTGTAATGAGTAAATATTTTATTTTTTATTTTTTTAAGTGTGTGAATGAAGAAGAATGTGCAAATAGAAGATTAAGGGCTAGTTTGGCATGTACTAAATAAGTCAAAAAGTCAAAAAGTCACTATCTTATTTAAGTCACATCATCTTATTTAAATCACATCACCTCTCTAACACATCACATCAAACCCAACCCAAACCCACCAATAAGTCAAAAAGTGCACTTTTTTAGAACATCTCAAACCAACCCTAAGTATGCGCAAATAGAGGCCCCCAAAATTTTGACCTATGGATCTTATTCAAAAGCAACGTTGATGATCTCGATCTTATGCGATTGATGATGATGGTGCCTTGAAAGAGCCACTTGGGTACACACTGCTCGGATATCAACAATGCTAGGTATCATGAAAAATCTTTCATGAAAATAAAAAGCTTTGTGACTTTTAGATTACACTTAGAATAAAGCACTACACACTAATCAAAGTAATCCAAAGATCATAAATCATTCATGATCTTTTTCATAAATTTTTTTTCATGATCCCTAACTTTTCTTCTCGGATATTTCTCCATCGGTACTCACGGTTCCAAAATTGGATGTTTGTGTGATTGCGTGGTGGAACGCTGGATTCGGACATTGGATTCTACGATCCACACCTCTAGGCCCATTGTACTGAGTTTTTTATTATGTGTTTGTTTCACGCCATCATGTTAATTTTAATCCTTAATTATTTTTTTTTTCTTTTTTCTTTTTTATAATAAGAAGAAAAAACTGCATCTTAAGTATATGTATATCACACTTTTAAACATTGGACCTCAAGACCCTCTCGTCCTTCATCTTTGATGGGAGGGTATTATTTGGGTCCATAAAATTTATTATGGATTCTATTTTAATAATTTGAATTATTTATTTTGTTAGATATTTTATGTATTTTATTCATATAAAAAATTAAATCGATTCGATAATCAGAATCTATTCAATTTATTACGTTTATCACAAAAAAAAACTACAATTGTCTTTTATTTTTTAGTGACAAACGCGATGAATTGAATAAATTACAATTATTGAATCGACCTAATTTTTTGTGAAAATGAAATACACAACAAAGTATCTGATAAAATGAATTGTTCAGATTATCGAAACAAAACTTTTGGTGAGCCCCACAAGCTTAAACAACGCTCTCCAATCTGAATTAAGGACTGAAAGTGATCCACTTCCTGACCAACTTTTAATCTTAATTTCTAATTACATATGATGAAACACATGAAAAATAAAAAATTTAAAAAAAGGTCTTATTTTAATATATTTTTTATGTAATTTACACTTCTTTTTTTTTTTGAACACTAAGAGCATCACCAGTAGGATTCCTAAACCCCTCCTTACCTATTTTAAGGGATTGATGGCTCCCTATATACTTCATTCAGCACCCTTAAAACACTTCTTAAGAAAGAATTGTTATAGTGCCTTATTATTAATAGAGAGTCACTGTAACTCCCTTATATATATATATCTATATATATTGGTTCTACTTTGTTTAGGAATTACAGTACACATTTACGATTTTTGTTTTTTTAAATTTATAATTAAAAATTATATTTTAATAGAATATAAAAAAAATAAAGAATTTATTAATAGAATAGAGAAAGAATAAAGAATTTATTAAAACAAGTAAATAAAAAAATAATATTTTTAATAATATTTTAAAATTTAAATAGACTAGTAAGGGTGCTCTGATAAGTCCTACCATACACACTCCCTTAATTGTTAGGGCAAATTACATATACACCCCTCGAGGTTTGGCTAAATTACAGATACCCCCTGAGGTTTCAGAAATTACATCCCGCCCCCTGAGGTTTGTATTTTCATAACAATTTGCCCCCTGAGGTTTATATTTCATAACAAATTACCCCCTAATTTCTTATGCAAATATAACATTCAGGGGGGAATTCGTAATTTCTGAAACCTCAGGGGGGCATTTGTAATTTAGCCAAACCTCGAGGGGTGTATATGTAATTTGCCCTAATTGTTAATTAGGATGTTGGAAGTGACTACTACTATTACATCACGATGAAATGGTGGGGGTGGTGAAGTGGATTCCACTACCAACCAACCAGTTGCCCAACTTTTTGACTTCCGTTATAAAGCTTTATTGGAGAATTATACTTAGGAAAATGAGTGAGAGCATTAATTAGTGCTATCACTAATGATGTGGTAGTGGGCCCTATCAAGAATGATTTGATGTTTTGGCCTTGGTGTTGTATTTTTTTTTTTATTGAGTGGCATGTCATTAGTGGTCTTTTTAGAGCTCCAAAATTAGTGGTCTCTATCATTGTTGTTACACTTAATGATGATTTTTGGAATATCTATACAGTATAACATGATTTACCTCACTTGTTTCTACTTTTCAAAAAATTTTATTTTCTTATTTTTCGTATTTTTTTATTTTTATTGAATTTTTTTAATATTTTAAATAATTTTTTTACTTTTTAAACACACCTAACATAAATACATCTAAAAAGTAAAAAAAATTATACAAAAAATCTTTTAAAAATTCACTAAATACAAAAAATATAAAAATATACAAGAATTCAGTATATTTTTTATATTTTTGTGTATTTATTAATTTTTTAAAATATTTTTTCACAAATTTTTTACTTTTTAGATACATTTAAGTAAGGTGCATCTAAAAAAGTAAAAAAAATGTTTAAAATTTAAAAAATGTTCACTAAAAAAAAAATACGAAAACTAAAAAGTCAATTTTCAAAAAACTTAATCCAAAAAACTCAAACCAAACACACTGATTATTTTTAAAAATATATAAAAATGTATTAGAGATTCATATCATTTGAATGGTTGAGATGATTCCTAATCAATATCTAATGGTTGAGATTAATTTTTTTCCCGCCCAAACACTCTTTGCTCTCTCTCACTCTCATGTCTGCCCAAACACGTCTCTTCAACTCCCTCTCTACACGTTCTCTCTCAAGTTCTCTCTTCAAAATCAAAAGAACCTGATCTTTTGTTCTTACCTCTCCTCTTCTTCATCCTCTACCAAACACCACCATTGATCCGCTGCCACTGCTCACCGCCGCCGCCGCTGCTGATCATCATCATCGCCATTGATCCAACTCCGCGACTGTCCCACATTCCCTTTCTATCTTTCTCTCACTCTCTGTTTTTCTGCTTTAACAGAACGATCTCACCCACCATTTTCCTCCTCAACAAAAGGCGAAAGAGAGAAAGAGCAGTAGCAGCAAAGTCTCTAGTGGCTGATGAAAGTAAGTTGAATCGGAAGCTAATCCGACGGTCGCACCATCTAAGAAAAGTCTGGTCCTAATCCCAGACGAGAAGCTCTCCCTCTTCAAAACCCTTACCATACCCGAAAGTAAAACCCCTATCTCTCTCTCTCTCTCTCTAAAATGTGGATTGGATTATCATATTATATAACTCTCTCTGCAACCGATTAAGTTTGTTGGGTTTGTAACAGAGGATTCAAATCTTGTTGCTGAAAAGAAATCAAGCGATCCAACTGACAGAGGTATTAAAAAAATATAACATTTTTTATTACTCTTAGATTGTTTAATTCAAAGGCCCAATTTACTCTTTCCTCATATCAAATTTTGTACCTTTTTAAATTTTATTAGTTATGTCATGAATTGTAAACTCTTCTTAATTCCACAATTTCACATATACAATCTCATCCCTTAAAGAGAGAGAGAGAGAGAGACAGAATTTTTCAATGTTGTCCATGAATTTTTAAGTTAAGCTTTTGTGCCTAGGGTTTTAAAAGTTACAAAAACATGTTGTAGATTGAAATTGATGTGATAACTAACCAGTAGATATAGGAACTTGCAAGTATATTTATTTGTTTCTGTTTTTGGATTTTCTTTGGTCGTTGTTGTATTCAGTCGAACTCGCACTCGCAAGGTAATTTCAATATTCTCTCATCTCCTCCTTCAAACTTGGTTGTTGTATGGTTGATGGCTTTTTTTTTTTTTTTGGCTGGGTTTGTGTAGACGTCCCCCAAACGCCCCGGGGGGATGAACCCCCATTCTGTTCATTTGGGCTCACTACAGCTCGGACTCTCAGATTGTCACGGTTCTTAATCTGAACCAAAGAGTCCAAATCCGGCAAATTGTTTTTGAGAAAACAGATTTTTAGAAAAGAAGTGCCAAACATGGACT